TTAATATATAATATTATTATTTATTAATACATTATTAAATTTTATTTATTTATAAAGAAATCTACATATATAAACAAATATATATATATATATATATATATAGAGAGAGACTAGACGACTACGTGACTGAATGAATTAGTGGCTGCATATTATTCAATGGGCAATTCGGTTATTGTATGCAGGACAGGGTTAACAAACTTTTATTCCTTTTTCTTTTGTCGCATTGTACGTAAGGTGCATATATAGCACCATGAATTAAGCACAAAGGGTAATGAGAATTTTTACGTAACTGTCACATCTTTCTTTCTGATATCCCTTTTTCTGATTTTCTTCTCTTTCTTTCTGAAAACCCCCTTGCATTGGTGCTCTCGTTGTCCCCACATCATGGCAGACCCCTCTGACGCCATTTCCAAACTTGACAAAAAAATTGAACAAATCCTCCTCGCCCAGGCTAATTTTTCCAACACTTTACATGACATTGCTTCCCGCACGTCCCTTTTGGAATCCAAACCATCTTCCCCACCACCATTTGCAAACCACACCTCTCCTCGACCCATAAAATTTGACTTACCCTCCTTCAACGGGGATGATGCTCTGGACTGGATCTTCAAAATTACCCAGTTCTTCGAGTTTCATCAAACCCCACCGGAGCAACACACTCAAATCTCTTCCTTCTATCTTGAAGGACCAGCACTGGCATGGTACCAATGGATGCACAACAATGGTCTCCTCACCTCTTGGGACGCCTTCCTTCGTGCCTTGGAGCTCCGTTTTGCCCCCTCCAAGTTCGAAGACCCCATTGCTGCACTCTGTAAGTTGTCTCAGACCCAATTACTTCAAGATTACATCACTGAGTTCGAATCCATTGCCAATCGCATCTCCGGCTACCCAGCTAGTTTCTACCTTAGTTGCTTCATTTCTGGGTTGAAACCACATCTCCGTCGGGAGGTTACAGCTCTACAACCCACCGACATGCCTCAGGCGGTGGCTTTTGCCAAGCTTCATGACGATAAGTCCCGTATTGTCACACCTCCATTTTCCAGATTCTCCAAACCATCCCTGCCACTAACCGCATCCACCCCACCCAAACCGCTTCCCCCCTCCTTCCTACCCCCTCCACCAAAATACCCATCAAACGACTCATTGAGGCCGAAATGCAGGATCGTAGGGACAAGAACCTTTGTTACAACTGCGATGAAAGGTACACCAGGGACCACCGTTGCAAATCACAATTTCTCTTACTCGTTGTCCCTGCGGCTGACGACATCTCTGATAGTCTTCCAGAGCAGGAATCCCAACCCCCTGATGACCCTTCACTTGAAGCGGGTCTGATCAGTCTCCACTCTCTTTCGGGTCAATGGACTCCACAGACTTTTCGGATCACCGGGTCACTTAAAGGGTACGAGGTCCATATTATGGTGGATAGCGGGGCAACACACAATTTCATTCAATCCAAAGTGGCCCACTTCCTTAACCTTCCCCTCGAGCCCACTTCGAGTCCACTAAAGGTCATGGTAGGTAATGGAGACTTCCTACCGTGTACAACTTATTGTCCTCAAGCCCAAATTACTCTTGCATCTCTGAAATTTCCCATTGATCTATACCCCTTAGACCTCTCTGGTACAGATATTGTGTTAGGAGTGCAATGGCTTACACAAATAAGCCCATTTATTATGGACTACAATGGGCCCTTTATGCGGTTCATGTGGGAAGGCAACATGGTCGAACTAAAGGGAGAACATAGCTCCAGCCCCATCCCAATCACTGCCCACCAGTTACGACGCTTACATCATACAAACCGTGTTGAAGCTCTTTTCCAACTAATACTAGAGCCTTTTTCACCAACACTACCCTTACCCCCTCAAACTCAACAGCCACAAACAAATTCCACCATTCCTTCCATTGCCCCCCCATTCCAATCATTACTCACAAAATATTCCACCTTATTCACCACCCCTACATCCCTTCCACCCTCGCGAAGCACAGACCATTCCATTCCCCTACTGCCCAATACCCCTCCCATTTCAGTTCGACCATACTGCTATCCTCATTTCCAAAAACAGGAAATCGAGACACAAGTTGCAAAGATGCTTGAATCTGGGTTTATCACTCCCAATACCAGTCCATTCTCATCTCCGATGCTCTTAGTCAAAAAGAAGGACGGCACATGGCGATTTTGCGTGGACTATCGTGCTCAAAACGCCGCCACTGTCAAGGACAAATTCCCCATCCCAACCGTTGATGAATTGTTGGACGAACTCGGTCATGCTTCATGGTTTTCCAAGCTTGATCTCTTCTCAGGATTTCATCAGATATTGATGGTGCCTTCGGATTCAAAGAAAACAACGTTCAGAACCCATAACGGCCATTTCGAGTTCAAGGTTATGCCCTTTGGGTTGTGTAATGCTCCATCCACATTCCAAGCTACCATGAACGACCTGTTCCGGCCACATTTACGACGTTTCATCATTGTTTTTTTTGATGACATACTCGTCTACAGTCCCACATTGGAGTCTCATCTCAGCCACCTAGAAACAACTTTCCAACTTCTGCTTGCAAACTGTTTTCACCTCAACGGCTCCAAATGTTCAATTGGCCAGCAATCCATTCATTATTTGGGTCACATTGTATCTCATAAAGGAGTGCAACCTGACCCTTCTAAAACTCAAGAAGTGCTCGAATGGCCAACTCCAACCTCACTCAAATCCCTTCGAGGCTTCCTGGGGCTTACAGGTTTTTATAGACGCTTCGTGGCAGGTTATGCGTCTATCGCTTCTGCTTTAACTGATTTATTAAAGAAAGATAATTTTCATTGGTCTGATTCTGCTTCTGTTGCATTTACCTCTCTCAAAACTGCTTTAACCAAGGCTCCAGCTCTAGCTTTGCCTCGTTTTGATTGTGTATTCACAGTGTAGACAGATGCATCAGCCACGGGCATGGGAGCCGTGCTTTCACAAAACGGACACCCCATTGCTTTTTTCAGTAAACAGTTCTGCCCCAAATTACAACACTCCTCTTCTTATATCAAAGAATTATGCGCCATCACAAGTGCTGTGAAAAAGTGGAGGCAGTACCTGTTGGGTAATCACTTTATCATACTTACCGACCAACAATCCATAAGGGAGTTAACATCACAAACGGTTCTCACCCCTGCTCAACAGCCTTATCTGATCAAGCTTCTAGGCTTTGATTTTGACATTCATTACAGGCCAGGCAGAACTAACATTGTTGCTGATGCTCTTTCCAGGGTCGAATCACCACCAGCGACCCCTATTGACACTACATTATCACATTCGGCTCTCTTCATCTTATCCATTCCCCATATGGATTTCATTGAGGATCTAAAGTCCTCCCTTGCTTCCAACAGTGACTTCCAGGACGTCAAGAACAAGTTTGCTAGCACCCCCTCCTCATTTCCGGACTATTCACTTCATCAGGATCTACTTCTCTTCAAAGGCAAGATTTGGCTTCCCCGTTCCTGTTCCATGATCCCTTTACTTTTGCAGGAATTTCACTCCACCCCACTAGCTGGCCACCCCGGTGTGAGTCGCACTTTGAGCAAGTTGCAGGCCAATTTCTATTGGGCTAACATGCGAAAGGATGTCCACACTTTTGTCTCTCAATGCACTACATGTCAGCAGACAAAGACACCAACTCGATGCCCTCCAGGGCTACTGCAACCTATCCCACCACCAGAGCGCTGCTGGAAAGATTTGTCACTGGATTTTATACTAGGACTTCCCCCATACCAGGGGCATACTACTATACTCGTGGTAGTGGATAGATTTTCCAAAGGGGCCCATTTTGGCATGATGCCACGTTCTTTCTCTGCTCTGAAAGTTGCTGAACTTTTTATTAACATGGTGTGCAAACTTCATGGTTTTCCTCGCAGCTTAATTTCGGATCGGGATCCTATATTTTTGAGTCAATTCTGGCGCGAATTATTTCGTCTGAGCGGCACTAAGTTGCGTATGTCTACCGCCTATCATCCTCAAACGGATGGCCAAACAGAGGTGGCTAACAAAATCCTACAACAATACTTGAGGAGCTTTGTGCATCATCGTCCTTCCTTGTGGGGCAAGCTGCTGCCGTGGGCTGAATGGTGTTTCAACACCACTGTGAACAGCTCTACGGGCCTCACACCATTTGAAGCAATGTTTGGTCGCCCCCCTCCTAACATTCCACAGAATTTGATAGGGGACTCACCTAATGTTGCAGCCCATTCCGAGGTTACTACTAGGGATGCGATTCTGCGTAAGTTGCACTCTAATCTCCACAAGGCACAAGAGGCCATGAAGAGATGGGCAGATACTCGTCGCCGCGATCTTCATTTTGATATTGGTGACTTGGTTTATGTTCGCCTCCGCCCTCGTTGCCAAGCCTCAGTCACTGGTACCTTGGTAAGCTGCAGAAGAGGTACTTTGGTCCTTTCAAAGTCTTGGAGAAGGTTGGCAATGTTGCCTACAAGCTTGACCTGCCACCAACTGCACGCATTCATAATGTCTTCCACATCAGTCTACTTCGCCCTCATTTGGGTCCTCCACCATCACCTCAGCCCCTTAGCTTACCTCTAGACGTAGAGGACAACCAACCCATACTGGAACCTGCAGCCATTTTGAACTGGAAGCTTTCGAATGATCCTGATGACCCTCAGCAACTTGTCTTGATTCAGTGGCAGGGGTTTCCCCTAGAAGAGACCAGTTAGGAGCCGTGGTCTCAAATTAAAGCTCAATTCTACCTTGAGGACAAGGTGACTCTCGAACCAGGAGGAGGTGTTAGGCCCATTTCCCAGTATGACCCACCAGACCCATTAAGTGTGCAGGAGGAAGTTATTACTTATGGAAGACCCCAAAGGATCCGTAACAAACCACCTCACCTAGACGACTACGTGACTGAATGAATTAGTGGCTGCATATTATTCAATGGGCAATTCGGTTATTGTATGCAGGACAGGGTTAACAAACTTTTATTCCTTTTTCTTTTGTCGCATTGTACGTAAGGTGCATATATAGCACCATGAATTAAGCACAAAGGGTAATGAGAATTTTTACGTAACTGTCACATCTTTCTTTTTGATATCCCTTTTTATGATTTTCTTCTCTTTCTTTCTGAAAACCCCCTTTCAAATTGCCATATCTGCGAATTGGGTGGCAGATTTAAAAGAATCTATGATGTTCCATACTACTTTTATGATGTGGTTTGGCAGTACTACAAACAATGGTAGCATGATAATTGTTAGGCTTCTGTAGAGAATTTCTTTCCCCCTATTATGTGAATCACTGAATCACACGTGTTGAAACATCAAAAGCATAAATGTAGACAACCGCTTTTTCATATGCAACGGCAAATATGAACTAGGAATCTCCAGCTGATTACTTGCTCAAACCAAATAAAATGGAGATCTTTATACGTTAAGCAATTCTAAAGGATAATAATTTAAACTAGATATACAGGCTGTAATAAAAACATTTTTTTTCTGGTACATGTAATTAAATTTAGTTGCTCTTGAAATCCAGATCATAACGAGAAGTGGAAAGTTAAAGCCCCAATTAAACATGTAAATCACTATGAGTATGAGCAGCAGCCACTACTTGATGCATCAGACTGTGGGGCTTTCTGCTTGAAGATGTTCTTTTTCACACCAGACGAGCCCTCAGCCAAGAGACTTGGTGTCTCCAAAATCTGCAGATAAACAGGGAACCCAAACTTGAATCATTTCTTCCATTTTCTGAGGGTGTCGAATTGTAATTGATGCAAATAATATAAACAAACACCCACAATTCTTTTGAAATTTGAAATAAGTGAAAAGGTAAATCTTTCAATGTATGTCAATTAGATCCAGTAATGGTTGGAAACTCATAGGATTAGAAGATGTTTCGGTATTTAAGAAGCCTGCACCAAATTACATTGTTACATTACAATTTACCATTTGAAGCTTATATCTAGGATAGCCCATCACCAAAGGTTGAAGGTACTTTAAAAGTAAACTGAGCTTCTGTTCTGGCTACATTGGTATTGCCTATATGCTATTGCAGTGCTAATGTTCTCAATATTGTGAGGTAGTTGTCACTTGTCAGAGTTGTTTTCTATTTTATTTTCCATTGTTTCTTTTGGTTCAAGTTACCTCAGAAAGCTATATCAGACTTTCCTAAGGGCCAGGATTTCTTTTAAATGGGGGATTCTAATTCTATCTCGTATACCAGGTTTAATGGCTGCAAAATATGAGTAACTTTTCCGTTTATAATAATAACAGTTAGAATCTCTATATTGGTTGTGTTCAAATTACTTCAACCATTCTTCTATTATAACATCTCGAGTGCCAGGGTTATATCCCACGGCTTGTATCATAACAAAAGGCTTATTCTATTTATCCTATCATAATTTCTTGAAAAAATTATTTTATAAAAAGACATCATCATGAAAGTACAAAACATAGCAAAAATAACCATTTCAATTAGTTAAGTGCCCCCTCTCCCTTTTTCCTTCTTCTGAGGAGTTGGGAAGAGTTGCATTGTATGTGTACCTTCATCACAAGCTCATCAAAACACTGGCCAACATTGACTCTGGTTTTTGCACTGCATTCAGTAAACAAACATCCATATTCCCTTGCAAAGTCTATCCCTTCCTTTTTGCTGACAACCCTTTCACTTTCCTGAAATTTGAGAGATTATTAGGGTGAGGCTTACTTTGATTCATGTCTACTTTAAATATGACAGCTAACGAGCAGAATTTGCAAAAACTATACCCATGCAAAATTTCTTACAGAATTAGTGAATCAAGACACCCTCACAATTTGTTCGGATGAGGAATTATACACAAATTCATTAATGACATACCTTATCAACCTTGTTTCCAACTAGCATCTTGATGCAATCTTGATTTGTTGAGTATAGGTCAATTTCTTTAGCCCATATATCAGATAGGTTTGTGAAGGTGTCCCGCCGTGTCACATCATATACTGCATCATTAACCCAGATTCATTGAATAGATTTATAATATAGAACAGCAACAAGAATGTGATTGCTGCAGCTAAAACAATTTAAACAAACACATTAAATTTGGAAGCAAAACAGGTCACTGCTATAAACTATAGTTTTTCACCCAACCAAACTTATGATCTGTAAATCAAGACAATAATACTAAGTAATTATTCAACAAATGTGATATGATAACATCAATAAATCCACTTGTCAATACTCAGTCATCAAATGTTCAATATTTTCAAATTGAAGGAAATTTCCTAGAAGTTAAGGCTCAACCCAAAAGACATTTAAACCATTGCCATCACCACTGTTCACTGCCATGATATTATAGCTAATATGTCTATTCTAATGCTGGTAATGTCAATGGGCATGCTAATTCTCTTCTTCTTAACAACAGTTTAGTTTAGCTACTAGAACTCCAGATTGTCAAAGATCGGGCCCCATCCACAACTAGACCCTTGTCCAATTTTTTGGGTTGCCTTTGAATTGCTCCTAATACATAGGAGTGTACAACGAATGATTTGGATGAATTTGAATTGATTATAATAGATGGATAAAAATGAACTCTTAATCCATTTATGATCCATAAAATAATTGTTAAAGAATTCAATCCATCTATTGCCCCTTAAATAAAAACCGTCCAACCCTATCCTTTATTCCATTAGTTATTTTTATGTAAGGAGGATATCCAATCAATCCATTTAAAAGTACATTATACTTTCAAATTTTATTTATTTTTTTCCTATCAAAATTTTTCTCACTAAATTTCCACTCTTTAACATTCTTTTCTCTATAATATTTTCTGATAGAAAGAAATCTTGATAATATGCCATGTGCATTGTCCATGCTTCAAGCCCAAAGAGTTCTTGCATGAAAGCTAAAGGGATGTGTTAGATATTGTTTTGGTACACCCAAAAGTCCCACATTGCTTAGAGTCGAGGTCAAGGGTAATTTATTAACATCTTCCTCTCTTAACCTACTAAAACGTCTTTTCAAGGACAAAACTATGACGATCTAATGAATACTAAAGTGAATAATATCTCAGATACAGCGACTCTAACGATGTCAATGGACATACGATTGGAACATTAGAATTAGAAGGAGGGCCCAAGGGACTCTTGCCCCTTATTCTCAAATAGGGGGCTTATTCTACTGAGTCCAAAAGTTTCACATCGCTTAGGAATCAAGGTCAAAGCTAATTTATAAATACCCTCCTCCCTTAACCCACCAAAATGCCTTTTCAAGGAAAAAATCATGATGGTCCAACAGTCCCAAAACAGACTATACCATGGATGCAGTAACCATAATGATGTCAATGGAACGGACTTACGATTGGGATAGATATAAAACCATTCATCTGCCTTGACCCAACAGTATGCATTTAGAATAGATGGTTCATGATGTAGTTATTGCAATAGATTCGTCCATTTGTTATATAAAAAAAAAGGTTGTATGTTCCGGTACATGCCAAAAATTCTCACATTACATAGGAGTCAAGCCTAAGCATAATTTATAAATAATCTTCTCTGTTAACCCTCCAAAGCGCCTTTCGGTCTGAATAGATATAAAACCATTCATCTGCCTTTTCCCAACAGTATGCATTTAGAATAGATGGTTCATGACATAGCTATTGCAATAAAACGGTGTTTCATGCACAGGAATAAAAGTTAGCACTTAATCACACCATACACATGCAAGAGGTCATCATAAGGAAAACAATGACATCATACATGTCATCATAATAATCCATTTTCATCACGAGTTTGCTATAATTTTACAACATAGATTCAAAAGGGATAAAATAGACACGGTATGAACTACACACACAACCATGTTGCATGATTTACATCTCAACAACTTACCAAAAGTTAAACAAATAACAAAACAAGTGTACATCAAATTTGCGGGATAGCATAGCAAACAAAAAATATTGCTAAGTAGTGGAGAAAATCATGGAACATACCCATAATTATTCCTTGAGCTCCTCTATAGTATGAACTAGTAAGTGTTCTAAACCTTTCCTGTCCAGCTGCACAACGAAAAATACAATGTATTTTTTAGCATTCCAATTAACATATTCCAATGAAGAATTGCCTAGGCTTCTCTAAGGCCTAAGTTATACAAATTTGTAACAAAGAAAGGAGAATTCCGTGTCAAAAGCTTCTTATCTGTTTATAAGAAAATATAAGCCATATACTGCACATAATTACTAAAGCGTTACATTATATGTTCTCTTAAATATACATCGAACATTTTCAATATGCTGAAATTTCAACAAAGTATATATGAAATATAATTATATAATATACTATTTTATTAATTACACTGATGAAAAAGAAGGTACATTCCAGTACGCTGATTTTAAATAATATTGCAAAACTTTCCAAATTTTTCTTTAACAGAAGTGTTGAGCCTTTGAATCTCGATATCCAGATCCATGTGTAATCCTAATATGTGTTAATGAAATAACATTGAACTATTCAACAATAAATTTCAAAGATTTCAATTGGTATGGTGAGCATTGCAATTAAAGCTCAAAACAGTTAAGTCCATCAGAGCTCCAAAGCTGCACACTTACTCTGCAGCATGAATTTGTAGCAATGGAAAATGTTCTTGGCTTTAAATAATGTACAATTTTGAACATATAAAACAGAAGCAAACAATACAGAGTTAAAGGGATTTGAACTTTAAGAAATTATGATTAACAAATTGCACATTACCTGTGTCCCAAATAGCAAGTTTTAACTTTTTCCCTCCAATCGTAACATATTTAACTTTGAAATCCACACCTGCATTATGATTATAAGAATCAATGAATATGACTGAGTAAAAGCATATCTTTCTAATAAATAATTGAGCTCCAAAATAATGTAATGAACAATAAATAACATTGACATCACCTTTTATAATGGGTTACCATGACTACATGATGGTGAAACTAAATCTCTGTACTAGCCAAACGCTAGATGTTTCTTATAAACAAAATAAAATATTAAAAACAATATAATGCTGCTTCATACAACAATCAAACCAGTATTGTCCAATCCTGATTTTAAGTTTGGACCACTAGAACACATTATTAGATCCAGTAAATAAACAAGTCACAAGTGTAAGAAGCCTGATCTGACTGGCCATAACTTGTCACTTGTCAGCAAACTCAGACACTCGGTACTGATTTGTGTATTCACAGCCAAAATAGGTAGCGGCTTACGTAAATGAGGAGTTAGTCGTGAATTACTAAAACTCAGTTTGTTAAATATTCGATCATGCTTGTTTATTTAACCAAACAAATAATCTTAAGCTATGTTTAGATTCACTTATACTAATGAGTCAAGCTCAAGTATTATAGGTTTGAGTTTTGACATTAAAAAATAAAAACCTTTATGAGAAATTGTGTATGTGTGTGCGCTGGCACATTTTAATTTTAAAAAAGGAAGTGTTGTTATATTTAGCAAATTGTAATTCTATTAATAAAAATATTATTACCAAACTTTCATTTTCTTCCCTACTTACTTTTACTTCATTTTCTACATGAAAATATCTATCAAATACTAAATTAATCAACTTAGAAATATTTTAAGAAATTTAAAAGAGGAATGAAAATAATCAAGCATTGAACAAGCTAAACAAACCAAGCCCAAGTTTCATGTTTTTAAACTAGTCACTGCCAAGTTTCAAATTTTGACTAGTTTTAAATTAACGAGTTAATTAATGTATGCAGCATACATTTTTGCAAGTCAAGCTTGAACTTTCAAGTGCTCAGTTTGGATTGGCTCATTTACAACTTTAATATTGATGACTTCTACCAAGGCCAGTAACATGAACCACAATACAAAGAAACTACATTAAGTTCATAAGAACACATGTTTAAGAAAAATATATGATCATCAAGATCCTCATGAGCAATTCAAATGTAAGATGTTAATTAAACAAGAGAAACCCAGCGCCAAAGGTATCAAAAAACATCATCAACCAACCACATCTCATCCCATCAACCACATCACTTTCAAAAGATTAACGCGGGGACCGAAAGACATAGGTTGTAACACTATCAGTTCACAAATTCACTGAACAACGATTCAAACCTTCAACTACAATTTTGATTACTTAAAAATTCTTCGAACATTCAATGTTACAAAATAGATAATAAAAGAAACAACCATCCAGAAAGATTGACAAGTGAGACAACATAGATTACTACAAAAATCTCAACGCCAAAATAAAAAAAAAAAGTTGCATTCTTTAGACAGAAAAAGACTTAAATTCATTTTGATCCTATAATTTCACAAATGTGTAATTTAGGTCCCTATAATTTTTTTATTACAAATTTGATCCTCGGTTCACTATGAACATATTATTCAAAATTTAAAAAAAAAAAAAAAAAAAAGTTGACGTAAAACATAAATGACATTTCCGACAATTAATCAGCTATGTTGGCTTTTATGTATGAAAAGATATTAGTAATTTTTTTAAACTGAAAAGTTAGATTTTTTTTTTATTTGGATTAAAATTTATAATCTATTAAAACAATGTTATTCTTAATTTTTAATAAGATTATTTTCTTATGTGATTAAGAATCTGTAAAACAATGTTCCTCACGTACTACGTGAACTCAACTCACCTTCTGAGTTAATATTTTCTTTTTAATTTTAGATAATACGTTAATCATGAACTAATATGACTTAACTTTAAAAACTGAGACCAAATTTACAACAATAAAAATATTTACTCACTCAAATTTAAAATCAACCTTTTTTAATTTTAAAATTTTTATTTTAATCCTTATATCCAAATTTGATTAGAGATTCTATCAAATATTTTTATATAAAATTTTCTTACTAGTGTTTTATAAGTAAAATCATCCTATTAAACTAGTATCACATAATTATCTCACTTTATATATCACCAATCATTTGAAAAATTAAAACAAGATTTTTAAAAATTTTAAAACTAAAAATAAAAATTTAGAATTTAAAAAATAAAAAAAATCATAAATTAGATGATAAAAATATATTTAAGCGCTAAAAAAAATAGAACTAAAATTGCATATTTAAATAAAGTCATGTTTGATTAGACTAAGTCACGTTTTGGACAGATTAGTCCTTGGTGGAAGGTTTGGTACATGGACCGAAATAAAAATTGCACAAGCTACAACCATTAAAAATGGATTTAGCCAAAGAAAATTTTGTGGTTACTAACCGATGGTGGGAGAAAGATCCTCGAATGTATCGGAGGTGAAGCTCAAAAGCAGGGTGCTTTTGCCGACGCCAGAATCCCCAATCAAGAGAAGCTTGAACAAGTAATCGAATTCGGGTTGAGTGGACGAGGAGGAGGAAGCATCCATTGAGAAATTCACTAAACTTAGATTGGATCTAATAGGTGATTTCGTTTGATTGTGGTGGAAATTCTAGAGTTGGATTCAATGGAAAGTGGAAGAAGAAGAAGGAAAAGAAAATATGTTGAAGCGGAAGAGGACTTATAGAAGGTTGCGGACAGTGAAAGGAAACTGGTTTAAAGTTTGTCGCGTGCTTGCAGCGGTGATTGATTCGGTTGTCGGTGTTTTCGCACCCACCTTTTGCGTTTCCTTCTTCTTAGATCAAATTATACTATACGTTTTGTATGATAAAAAATTAAATAAATAATATTAAAAACTTAACAATAATACTACTTCATATGTTATTATTATTATTTTTAAATATATGTGAATCAAAAGTAAAACTGAGAAAAAGGTTACATTAATTAATAATGTGGTACAGTGGTAGGGGTTGATTCGCGCTTAAACAAAGTTAAGAGTTCGAATCTTGTGTGCAGCCGCATTAAATCTTGGAGGTGCCTCTAACGTAATGAGGAGATTAGTCACTACTATAGACGGTGATACTCCATAGACGAACCAAAAGAAAAAGGTTACATTTTTTTTTTACTACCATTAACTTGATTTGTTTTTCATCAGTTTTTTAATTCTATAATTTTTAAATTTTCCTGATCAATGACTTGACTTAACCGATTCATTAACTTTCCAATTAAATTGAGTTTCCGTTCTAATTTTATATCTTTATTTTTTTATCCTATTATTTTTTCAAAACAAAAATTTAAAGTACTATGACTTAACATTTTTTATAAATAAACTAGTTCAAAGACGTGTGTGATGCACAAGAATATAAATATATTAATAAATATAAATTTATTTTTAAGTATATAAATTAATTTTTGAATTTGACAATAAGTTATAGTAAATAAAAATAATTTAATAACACAAGAATACCATCAAATGAAACAAACTATGAATATATCAATAGAGAATAATTATAACATTAATCTAATATTTTGATAATTTCAAATATGATCTCAAATTATTCAATTAATAAAAATTCAATAATTTGATTAAATAGTTTACAATCATAAATTCAATAAAATATACCTTAAAAATCTTTAGAATTGTAATAATAAAATACGTATTTTTACTTAATAGAATAATTTACATTATCCTCTCTCACGCTTATGTTTTTTTCATCATTTGTTATCTTTTTCATCTTCTGTCACTTTTGATCTCACCCACAAATAAAAAATCTTCTTCCATTGTTCATTTAAATTTAAGTAATAAGTTAGTATCAAATTTTTTTTTAAGTAATAAGTCAATAACATCCCATTATGCATAGGCAACACAACGAACAACACCTTCCTATAAAGTTCCTTCAAAATGAATGACATCTCATATGTTTTTTTGAACTTTAATGTGCACTCAAATAATATATGATAAAATAGAAATAAAAATCTAAAATAATAGAGGTAGTATTAGTGAAAATGAAGAGAGGTTATAGGAAGGTAACAATGGTTTGTTTATGGTTGAAAAATATATATAGTTTGATTGGAAAGAGAAAAAGGTGAAGAGGCATTTAGGAGTTGAAGATGCAACCTACATTTCACTTTCTCATTTTTGTGTAATTGAGTGTTTTATCGGGAACATAGACAAATACAAAATATGAATAGATATGACTTAAATGCATATTGGAAAAAAGAATATTAATAGGCACACGTTAAATGTATATTTTAAATTCAAATAATAACTATAATTGACAAGGTAACAAATTTTGAAAACGTTTTGGAAGACATTTTTTTTATAAAAATATTTTGCTTATTAACATTAAAACTCTAAAGCTTGAAGAATTCAAAATCGTCTTTTAACTTAACAATTTCTCTCTTTTGATGGTGACGAACACGTTTTTGTATTTTTGAAATGCCCATTTTTCTTTATTTAAGAAAATATTTTTGCTTTGGTTAGACAAAAAGATTTTTGTCTTTTTGAGATGCTTTCATTTTTTCAATAGGTATTTTTCTTGAAAAGAATTCTAGCCTTTTAACCTTGAAAAATCTTTTTAATTTTTCCTAAGACATCTTTCTTAAAAAAGAGCAAAAGCAATTTGGATATTTTAAATAGAGTGATATAAGGCACACATCCAAGACGTTGTAAGATCATTCAAGTTGATTGATTTTTATGAATACACTCTTTTAAAGACATAAATCGTCTCGCATTTACTTAATTATATCATCATTTAAAGTAGCATTTGAGATAGACTAAGAAATTATACCTATGCAACTAGAATGATATTTAATAAATCCTTAAAGCATGTCAAATTAAGTGTGCATACAGATTGTATGAGTTACAGTCTTAACATTTTAAACCTAAATCAGAACATACAAGAAAATTTGTATAGATATGGTATAGCATACTTGTTTTATTTCTTTCTTATCATGCATATTAGAGCATATTGGGGTGTGTCAGAACATATTTTTCTACCTTAGGTGTTAACGCATATATAATCAGACCATATATGCCTACCTTAGATGCTATATGCAATGCATAGGTGAATTGCAGGCTTGGAGACAGTGTCTTGTGTGTAAAACTTCATACAATGATGAATTGTCCATGGTTTGTATAGCTCACCAAGCACAAAAGGAAGGTTGTGAGAACTGTCTTCTGTGCTCAATTCAATAGTAGCTCTCAAGTTCAAAAGATTTTACATTTCATTCTATTTTTGCTTGACAATCCTCATGGTAAGACCATCCCACTATAAGGAGGGCAGTCCAAGTTGATCTCTCTTTGAGCAAGTTGCATCTCAGTAGTAGGGTGAATAAAAATGTTGTGTTCACTACTAAGATGTATCCCCTTATACTTTTGAAAGTTGAAGAAGGAGTGTTTATTGGAGTCGTAGATGGGAGGAGTCCAATCATCATCGATTGACATATCCTCCTTTAGGTGTTGCATCTCCCGTGCTTCTTAAGAGTTTGTGCTACCATCATTAGACTCAAACAAAACAAAGGGTGGCACTATAGAGACAAAGTCCTAGGTCCTTTTGTTATAGTTCCACCATGGAATTGTTAATGTTGAGAGGTTTAACATTGAGAATCACCTCCATTAACATTGTGGCATAAAAAATTGCATGCACAAGTTCCACTAAGATTGGAAACTATGGTATAATAGGGATGCCAAATGGACCAAGCAAGTTCAAGCTTTTGGCTTAGCATTAGCCTCACCAACTTGAGCAGGACCTTTAGATTGAGGCTCCCCCTTAGAAACAACTTGGGATGCCTCCTGATCTAGTGCCTAGGGCTCCTCCTAAGCCTGAAGCATAGGTGCCTCTTGCACTTAACCTTCATCAATCTTGTGCTTTGCCTAAGGCAGAGTGGCAATCTTTAGGAGAGATAGACTAAGTACAACTTCTAATTATAAGCCTCTGAAGCAGTCAAAGTAGGGCCTATGAGGGCTTATTGCTTGGCTTCCTCAACAGACTAAAGCTTAGATGTTTCACAACTTGATCTTCCTCCGAGGTCTTTGAGGCTTGGGTTGGCCTCATGCTATGCATTAGGCATCACTTACGAGTAAGTGAAGGTTGTATGGAAGTTTGTTAAGGTGGCTATGGTTGAGGTTGAGGTTGAGATTTAGATTTAGATTTTGGTTGGGATGGTTATGTAGATGAAGAGACCAATGGTTGTTTAGATGGTGGAGGAAGTTGAGAAATGATTTATAGGCTAGAGGTGGAGGATTTGCGAGTAAAATGGTGGATGAATGGCTTATCATCTGAATTAGATGGAGTTTCGTAAATATTGATTTTGGGGGATTTGGAGACAAAGCCTTTGGGTTGTGGTTTGATAGGTGAGGGTAGGGTTTTGGACTAGCAAGCTTGCTAGGAACACAAAGCAGGTTTCTTGGTAGGGGGCTCCTCCTCCATTGGCTCTTCCTTGATGGTTAAAGGGGTGACTCTTCACCAAAGGAAAAAGATAGACTATACCCATTTTTCCCAAGGTGGTCATTGATACCTCTCTTCTTTTAGGGTCAATAGAGAGAGATGAAGTGCCGATTCTTACGTGTTAGATGACTTTTGTAAAGAACATCCCATAAGATACAAGATATTAAAAGAAAAAAAAAGTGATATAAAAATACATACAAGTATCCCTCAAAATCAAAAGTTATGATAATAAGTAAAATGTTGTATAAAAATTTATGTAAAGTATAAATAACCTCTCTTTGAGACCTCAATTAGAGAATTTAAAAAGAAAACTCTACCACAATTATTTGACATAAATATGAAATGTATACAATTTGAATAATCATCAATAATTGATAGTAACTTCTTTAACTTCCTCTTTTTCAATACTGGAAACCTTATCAACTAGTCACCTGGTCATCTCTTTTAAGTTCCATCGAGTAACTTTGCTTTTCGAAGCCTTTATATGAGTATGGCAAAAAATTGTATATAACAACTCTGTACAATTTTAATAAAATTGTAGTTCTATTTCATCCTTCATATTTATTCTTGTTCTTATCTCTTCACTTCATATTTTTTTTTTCAAAGACGGATTCAGGTCCCTAACTCCCTATCAAAGGAGACATATTTTTTAGTAATATATTTATTATAATTATAAAATACATGATGTTATTTATCTGACTCATGAATATCATTATTTTTACATCATAAAAGAATATAAATTATGTATTGTTTTTAATTAATCTTTCAAGAAAATAATATATTTAGTATAATAAATATATTTAATTATAAATAATTAAAATCATATATTTAATATAATAAATATATTTTATTATATAAAAAAAAATGAGTAGTCCTTAGGGAGGGGGCCAACACCATACTTGCCCCTTAATTCCGTCCCTGCAGTCTTTACGTTTCTATTTCGGCAAAGTAAATACAACATATTAAAATCTAGCATGCTAATTCGGATAACAATTAATGAAGAACAAAATATCGAGTTCATACTATATGTGATAGTTAGTATAAAAATCGAATTTTACATTGAAAAACAAGTCATTGGTGCATATTTAAACTGAAAACTATAATTGTTGCTATTTTTTTTTAAAGGATAATTTTTGCTAGTTCAACTAAAAGGAATTCAGTAAACGAACTTCACCTAAAACATCTTTATACATGTGACCTATGAAATTTCATTTTCTCTATGCTACCCTGCTAATTAATGGGTCATTAATTAACACATGATTCTATTTTTCTTATACCTCCTATTCTTTACCAAACTTAATTCGTTGATTGATGCTGCTTACCAGAACATTCACATGCACAAACTCAAAAACTGATAAGAACAAAACTCATCTCATACATCAATTAGTACCTTTACAAAAGAAGCCACATGACATGGCAGTCCTATTTTTAAGCAGTAAATTAAATACACAATCAATAAATCATATAGATAGTACTCAGAATATTCACTTCATACCTGCCTTAATTTCACACGCAAATGATATTTCTCATGAAATCAAGAAATTAACCATAGCAGGTACAACAACATCATCAATCTAGACACGTGATAATTTAATTCAGGGTAAAACTTATATACAGTCTGATAGATATTGTTAATGTTGTTCCTGATTAAAATTGGAGTTCTACACACATAAAAATATACTTAATAAACGATTTTGTTAAACATCAATATATATTATTGAAATAAAACTCCAACTTTAAATAGAAAATAACATAAACAATACCTATGTACTGTACATAATTTTTGTGGCTTAATTTAAAATATGCTTCAAACTTGGTATTGCTCTAGCTGAACATCCTTGGATTTCAAAGGCACATACTCTCCTCGATACACTTCAAGGTGATCTGCCAAAGCCGATTTGTCAATGTTCTCATGGTGATAGGACTTGCAAACAAAGTAGAGCACAGTTTGAAGAAGAAGCCCAAATAGGAACAAACAAGACAAGAGCAACAAACAAAGGATCCCATATGCTGTTCTGTCCACAGAACCCACACTCCACCCATCCACCACCGTGGCCTTAAACAAAACCCTTATCAAAACAAAAGAAACCACAAGAGTCAAAAATATGAACACGGTCAAAACCATCTTCCCCTTTATCAACTCCTTGCCCTTCACCATGGCCCTAATCCCCCATGAGTCCTCCAACACGGTCACAACACTTGCTAGTTGCCACACCATAGTGAGGTACACAAACCCAATGAAGTATAACACCCCTATCAACACCAAAACCCATAACCCACCTCTATTTACCCCAATTGTAATTGCCCATATGAATACAACAATCATGGTCACAAAATTGTAGGCAAAAAAAGCAGCAAAGGCACATAAAAAGGTCAACATGAGCCTCTTCCACACCTTGGGGACAACACTCATGACCCTCTTGAATGTAACATCTTTTGATGTGTAAATTGAAGCTATGGTGTAGACCACTGCTGAGGTAGAGAGGAGGGAGAATATGAGAAACAAAGTAAAGTAAGCGATTTTGAAGAGCACAAGGGTGATCCATTCAGAAGAGACCATGTCGGAGAGCTTGTTGTATTGGGGTGTGTTTGGATTTGTTTCATCCATCACTATTGAGTTGTAGAGAATCTTTCTGAATAGGAGGTTGGAGACCTCTATGTGGATAAGGAAGATGAAGGAGAGAGGGAGGATTAGAGTTAAGGTGATTTGGGAGAAGATTCTCCTCCATGAGAGTATGATCTTGGAGGATTCTTTGTACACACCAAAGAACCCAAGAAATTGCATCTCTTCTTGTTCTCTATCCATGGTGGCTTGGGAAAATGGTTGAGATTGTTGGGTGTGGATGAGCAACGAGATTGGGATCCCAAGAGGATGAATGTGTTAAAGGTTTATAGCAAATCCAAGAATGGGTTTGGATTTGTATGCTCCAAATTACCCTTACTTTTCAAAGGAATTGCATTTGTTGAAAGGTCAACGACTACTTTTCTTTTTTTCTTGGCTAATAAATAATGACCGATATGTATCTTGTCATTTCTCTTTCAAATGTAACATTAAAAGGATTACCGAAAATGCTCAACTCGTAGCTGAATTATCGTCATTACTCTTACTTTTAGAGGTAAGATTAAAAGAACTACAAAAATTATCGACTAGTATGTAATAGTAATTAACAGAATCATCATTATGTCTCTTCATAGCTAAAATAATGTCTTTACTTATACTTTAGAGAAAGAAATGGGTAGATTAATTGATTGAATAAAGAAGATGATTGATTATTTCATAATCTAGTTATTTAACTTGCGTGTTTCGCTGATTTACTTTTATTTATTCATGTTAATTTTAACTTTCGTTTTGAGAGAGTTGTATATTTGTTTTAGTTTTTTTTTTTCTTTCAATTTTCTCACTAACATAAAAAAAAATTGTCAAAAATATTAGTGTTGATCTCTATTTGTAGGCTATTGCTTTTAATTATTTATTTAAGTTCGTATTGCGTCATATGTACGTGAACTTGCAGGACCAGAGAAGGTATTTGATAGAATTAATTTCCTTTCTTAACTAAAATTAAATGTGCCATGTTTTTTTCTGACTCTAATTTAAGTTCGAGTTAGGTAGTAATATGACTTTAGAGTTTGGAGTCGCGAGCAAATCCGTTGCATAAGAAAACAAGAGAATGCTACTTTGTAATGTGTTTCTTTTTCAGCAAAAAGAAGAAGAAGAAAAAGATGTAATAGATTAAAAAAAAAAAAAGTATATACTAGTTAAACGTGTGTGTCATTTTTGTTATTTATAAAAATTATATTAGTGACAACAAAATTTAAATTTAAGTTATTTGTGTATACTACAACTCTTTATCTCTAGGCCAACCTTTGTGATTTGTGTGTTTCATAAGATTTCTCCCCCCAAAAAAAGTGAAAAATGGCAACTGCGTAGTTTTTGGTGGAGATGGATGGCGTTTGGGGAAAAAGCAAATACAATGGTTGACGAAGACCAACCCAACAAGTCTTCACTCTTGACGTCGTGGCAAAGAATTTGAATGTATAAATAATTATTAAATAAATAAAATTTAAGGGTCCAAGTCAATTTTTTTGGCCACGTCTATACGTCGACACGGTTTCTATTTTTTCTTCTCGGAAATTTCTCAATGTAAGACTAAACTCTCAATTTGTATGAAGTTTGTACCCTCTCGTTAAAATTATAATTAAGTAAGGATTTTGTATTTCAAAATGGTATTTGGCATACCGGAATTAATTAAAATATTGAACTTCTCAAAATACGCCTGAGTTTAATATAAAATCAATTATATAGACTTCTAAAAATCACGAAATGCATTTCGGGTTCATTAAGTGATTACCCTCCCAATATAATCGATTATATGAACGATTGTGAAAAATTACATTACCATTAAAGATATTTAATAGAGGTTATCAATATTGGAATTTGATTGTGTTTATTAATTGATTACATATATTACATAATTTTTTTTTTTTGGTAAAGGATGAAAACTAAAAACAGCATACCACTCAAGACATAGAGTCTCTCCCTAACTGTAACAGTACAAACTCTGGAGGACTCCTCCAAAAAATATTGGAACCTATGTTCTGTCCACCCCAATTAGCCAGCGTATGTGCTACTGAATTAATCTCTCGAGGGATATGACTCACATAAACAACCGAGTCCCTAGCTAGAATGCGCTTAATACGACGAATCACATCATAGTGTTTATGCAAGTAATCCCTATCCGTTGGTCGCTCTTGAAACAGCGTAACTGCTCCCAGGCAATCACATTCGCACGTCACCTTCTGAAACCCACCTTCCCAACAAAGCGTTAAACCATCCTCCAAGGCCAATAACTCGGCACGTAACGCATCACCACGTAAAGCTCCACGCGAGAAACCCCCCCGCCACATGCCTGCCCAATCTCGAATTGCACCGCCCATCCCCATAGCATAAGATCCAGTCAACCAACTCCCGTCCGTGTTTAGTTTAACCCACGGATGCTCCGGAGGCTTCTAAAAGGCTGACTCCTCCCCTAAGCGCCTCTTCACGTTATACACATTGTTCTCCACCAGAGACAGTGTCACCTTCCAACGGACCGCCGAAATCGTCCAAAGCTCATCGGTAAACAGCATGTTATTTCTAAGCCGCCAAACCCACCATAAAGTGATGGAGAGCCTAATAGCATCCTTATGCAAAATAATCCCTTTCAGCCACTTGAAACAATCCATTACCGAGAAAGCCCACCCCACACTGATCCCACCAGACACCAGCACCTCCCGCGAAGACGGGCAATCACGAAGAGCATGTAAAATGGTTTCGTGAGGGCAAGAGCAACGCGAGCATGCACCAGAGTCGGCCAACCTCCTATCCGCCCGAATCTGATTCGTTGGAAGAGCTGAATGAAGGCATTGCCACAGAAAAAACTTAACCTTCTCAGGAATCTTCAACTTCCAGATCTTCCTCCACACGTCATCCCCTGCCGTGGACAACCCCAATGTTAGAAAACGATACCCAGACGCCGCTGTGTAACAGCCCGAGCTATCCCCCCTCCAAGCGAAGTGATCCAGCCCCAAAGGGGAATTGACGACACTCAGCTGTTGGACCGACTGTATCAGTTCCTCCGAGAGAGCAGTATACAAAGCAGTGAAGTTCCAAGCACCACTAACCCAGTAATCTGCAACTGTTCTGTTGGTGTCCGCAATATGAACGAATGGGACTTTCCCACACCAAAGCCCAGTACCTGACCAGTCCTTGTACCAAAGGGATGAGGCACCCGACCCCAGCTGAGGCATGAATCCCTCACGGAGATAAGAAAGGGCCTTGGTGAGACTTGACCAGGTCGGAGAAGCACCCCGCTTATTTTGAGCACACAGGATCGAGTCTCCCTGTAGGTATAGCTGGCTGAGGAGATGGACCCAAGGCTTCTCTGGAGTCGTAAGCAGATCCCAAACTAACTTCCCCAAGAGTGAAACATTCACCCTGCGCGCTTCCCTAACACCAAGACCACCGAACTCTGTGGGTTGAGTCACAACATCCCAACTCACCGGAAACCAGAACCGTGTGTTGTCAGAATTTGCCCAGAGCATACGTCGACAAGCTTGATCAATTCTAGTACACACTGCTTGAGGTAGCCACAGTGTTTGCATGCTATAAACTGGAATAGAGGAGATGGTGGACTTCACCAGACACAACTTCCCTGCCTTATTAAGAAGCTTGGATTTCCAAGCTGCAAGTCTACCCTGAATCTTATCCATCACATCATAAAAATCGGCGCACCTTGGCTGACCATGCGTCATGGGAACCCCCAAATACTTCCCTATTCGAGCCGTGTGGCCAATCCCAAGCCAACCCCCCAGTATGTCAATTCTCCTCTGTGGAACCCTTCTCGAGCTCACAAACTTAGATTTAGACAAATTGACCCTCAGTCCTGATGATCGCGAAAACGCCTCCAAAATTGATGCCACCAAGCGAGCTTGATCATCTGAAGCTTGACAGAACAGTAAAATATCATCAGCAAAGAAAATGTGTGAGAGCGGGAACCCCCCAGGGGAGAGCTTAATCGGTTTCCACCGACCCTCCTGGAGCAACTCAGAGATCCTAAGGGCTAGTCGCTCCATGCAAAAAACAAACAGATACGGGGATAGAGGGTCTCCCTGCCGAAGGCCACGGGACGGAACAAAGGACGGTAACTTGCTTCCATTCCAGAGTAGTGATATGGACGAATTCTTCAATCCCCACATGATGAGTTGGATTGTGACTGACGGAAACCCGAACTGCACCAGCGTAGACTCCAAAAAATCTCACCTGACCCTGTCATATGCCTTTTCCAGGTCAATTTTTAAAGCCAAAGAGCCCACACGTGAGCCCTCCTTCCGTATGAAGTGGAAGGCTTCTTGAGTAATAATACTGTGATCACGCGTCCCCCTCCCAGGAATAAAACTGCCCTGGAAAGGACCGATGATGCCTGGCAGGAAGGGTCTAAGACGAGCCACAAGCACTTTAGAAATAACCTTCCAAGCAACGTTGCATAAGCTAATTGGACGAAATTCTTTGAGGCTCACCGGGTGGTCCACCTTCGGAATTAACACCATCTGTGTCTCCAAGAGTGAACTGTCTGAGAACCCCAAACGAAAGGCATCCTTCACTGTGCGCCATAGTTCATCTCCCACAATAGGCCAATACTTCTTGAAAAAGAACAGTTGAAACCCATCCGGCCCTAGTGCCTTGAACGATTTCATGCTCATCACCACCCGGTGAACCTCCTCCTTTGTGACTGGGGCCGTTAAGGCGGATTGGGCTTCAACCCCCAGGCCAGGTGGAACCCCATCTTGCATGTCTAGAAACCCTTGGTCGTTATTAACCGAGAAAAGCTCCTTGTAGAACCTGACTGCCTCAGTTTTCATTACCACAGGGTCCGTGTGCCAAGACCCATCGGGCAGAAACAAGCCCTGAATTTTGTTCCTCCGTCTTCGCGCAAGAGTTTGGGCATGGAAGAAGGAAGTATTACGGTCCCCAAACCTCACCCACTTCTCTCTAGATTTCTGAAACCATAAATATTCCTCCTGAAGACAAGTTTCATCCAACTCTGCTTGTATGGCCTTTTCTAAGCGTGACAGGCTTTCTGAATCCCCTCTCTCAAGTTGTAGCTGTACCCCTTTAAGACGTCGTTGGAGCGCCTTCTTCCTTGTAAAGATGTTCCCAAACACATCCGTATTGAACTTGATGGCATCAACCCGAACAGCTTGTAGCCCATTAGCAAGGGTCGGCGTATTACGGCATACTTAAGATATAGTTTTGCACTTGTAAGCCAACTTTAATGAGAAAAAAAAACATAGACACTATTGCTCCAAAAGTTAAAAAGTAACTCTCCATTTTAAAATGACTTAATTTTTGA